TAGATAGGACCACCACACAGAAACTTAACAAAGAAACAAAGGATCTAACAGAAATTATGACCCAACTGGGTTTAACAGATATCTATAGAACATTTCATCCAAACACAAAAGAATATACCTTCTTCTCAGTGCCACTTGGAACCTTCTCTAAAATTGACCACATGGTTGGCAATAAAGCAAACCTCCACAGATACAAAGGAATTGAAATAACCCCCTGTGTCTTATCAGATCACCATGCTTTCAAGTTAGAATTCAACAGCAATACAAATTGCAGAAAAGCTACAAACTTGTGTAAATTGAATAACACCCAATTGCACCATTCCTGGGTTGAGGAATAAATAAAAAAAGAAATTAAAGACTTCCTAGAATTTAGTGAGACTGTAGACACAACATACCTAAACTTATGGGACATGCTGAAAGCAGTGCTAAGAGGAAAGTTCATAGCACTAAGTGCCCACATGAAGAAACTGAAACTGGAGAATAGTCACACTAGAGAATTGACAGAACAACGAAGGCTTTAGAGCAAAAAGAAGCAAACTCACTACCGAGGAGTAGACACCAGGAAATAATCAAACTGAGGGCTGAAATCAATAAAGTAGAAACTAAGAAAACATTACAATGAAACTAAGAAAACATTATCAATGAAACAAAGAGTTGGTTCTTTGAGAAGATCAACAAGATAGACAAACCTCTATCCAAACTAACCAAAGGTCATACACTGAAAACCTGTACTCCACAAAATTTGAAAATCTAAAGGAAATAGACAATTTTCTGGATAGATATCACTTACCAAAATTAAACCAAAAACAGATAAGCAGTTTAAATCGACCTATACCCCTAATGAAATAGAAGCAGTCATCAAAAGCCTCCCAACCAAAAAAAAAAGCCCAGGGCCAGATGGCTTCACTGCAGAATTCTACCAGCCAGTACTCCTCAAATTGTTCCACACAATAGAAGCAGAAGGGCCATTGACATACTCTTTTTATGAGGCCATAATCACTTTGATACCCAAGATACACAAAGATACAACTAAAAAAGAGAACTACAGACCAATATCCCTCATGAACATCAATGCAAAAATACTCAAAAAAATATTGGTGAATCGAATCCAAGAACACATCAGAAAAATCATCCACTATGATTAAGTAGGCTTCATCCCAGGTATGCAAGGATGGTTCAACATATGAAAATCCAACAATGTAATCCACAATATAAACAAACTGAAAAAGACAAACCACATGATCACCTCACTAGATGCTGAAAAAAACTTTGACAAAATCCAACACCCCTTCATGATAAGGATCTTGGAGAGAACAGGAATAACAGGAACATATTTAAACATGATAAAAGCAATATACACCAAACCAACAGCCAACATTAAACTAAATGGAGAGAAACTCAAAGCGATTTCTCTAAAATCGGGAACAAGACAAGGCTGTAGAGTCTCTCCATATCTCTTCAATATTGTCCTTGAAGTTGTAGCTAGAGCAATAAGACAAGAAAAGGAGATCAAAGGGATACAAATTGGAAAGGAAGAAGTCAAATTGCAGATAATATGATAGTCTACATAAGAAACCCGAAAAACTCTACCAGGGAACTCCTACAGCTGATAAACATCTTCAGCAAAGTAGCAGGATACAAAATTAACAAAATTAACTCAAAAAATTAAGTAGCCCTACTCTATGGAGATGATAAATGCAATGAGAAAGAAATCAGAGAAACATCACCCTTCACAATATCCACAAGCAACATAAAATATCTTGGGGTAACACTAACCAAAAAAGTAAAAGACCTATACAGTAAGAACTTTGAGTCTTTAAAGAAAGAAATTAAAGAAGATACCAAGAAATGCAAAGAATTCCCATGCTCTTGGATAGGTAGAATCAACATAGTAAAAATGGCAATCTTGCCAAAAGTAATCTACTGATTCAACGCAATCCCCATCAAAATCCCAACACAGTTCTTTACAGACCTTGAAAGAACAATACTCAACTTTCTATAGAAAAACAAAAAACCCAGGATAGCCAAAACAACTCTGTACAATAAAGGATCTTCTGGAGGCATCACCAACCCTGACTTCAAGCTCTATTATAGAGTCATAGTTCTGAAAACAGCTTGGTTTGGCCAAAAAATAGACAGACCAATGGAATTGAATTGAAAACCCTGATATTAACCCACACACCTATAAACACATTATTTTTGACAAAGATGATAAATCTATACAATGGAAGAAAGATAGCATCTTCAACAAATGGTGCTGGCACAACTGGATTCAGACATGTAGAAGATTGCAGATAGATCCATATCTGTCACCATGCACAAAACTTAAGTACAAATGAATCAAAGATGTCAACATAAATCCAGCCACACTGAATCTTCTAGAAGAGAAAGTGGGAGATACCCTTGAACAAATTGGCACAGGAGACAGCTTCTTGAACACTACACCAGTAACACAGACATTGAGAGCTGCAATCAATAAATGGGACCTCCTGAAACTGAGAAGCTTCTGAAAGGCAAAGGACATAGTCAGTAAGACAAAACAACAGCCCACAGAATGGAAAAAGATCTTCACCAACTCCACATCTGACAGAGGGCTGATTTCTAAAATATACAATGAACTCAAGAAGTAAGCCACCAAAACACCAACAATGAAATGAAAAAGTGGGGTACAGAACTAAATAGAGAATTCTCAACAGAGGAATCTGAAATGGCTGAAAGACACTTAAGAAAATGCTCAAAATCCTTGGCCATCAGAGAAATGCAACTCAAAACGTCTCTGAGAAACCATCTTACACCAGCCAGAATGGCTAAAATCAAAAACACCAAAGACAATTGATGAAAGAGAGGATGTGGAGAAAAAGGGACACTCCTCCATTGCTGGTGGGAGTGCAAACTTGTAAGACCACTTTGGAAATCAGTATGGCGCTTGCTCAGAAAAATGGGAATAAGTCTACCTCAAGATCCAGCAATTCCTCTCTTGGGCATATACCCAAATAATGCACGTCCATACAACAAGGACATAATGTTCAACCATGTTCACAGCTGCATTGTTTGTAATAGCCAGAACCTGGAAGCAACCTAGATGCCCCTCAAATGAGGAATGGATAGAGAAAATGTGGTACATTTATACAATGGAGTACTACTCGGCAGAAAAAAGCAATGGAATCTTGAAATTCGCAGGCAAATGCGTAGAACTAGAAGAAACCAGCCTGAGTGAGGTAATCTAGTCACAAAAAGACAAACATGGTATGTACTCACTCATATATGAATTTTAGACATAGAGCAAAGGATTACCAGCCTACAATCTCTTCACCAAAGAAACTAGGAAACAAGAAGGACTCTAAGGGAAAAATGCATGGACCCCATGAATGGGAAGGGGCAGGAACTCCTGAGCTAATTGGGAGCATGAGGGTAGGGAAGAGGGAGCTGGCAGAATGAGATGAGGATAAAAGGAGAGGAGGAGATGGAGGAGCAGAAAGGTTGAGTTGGGAGAAGAATAGAGGAGAGCAACATAAGAGATACCATATCAGAGGGAGCCTTTATAGGTTTGAGGAGAGATCTGGCCTCATCCAGTGGCTGATGGAAGCAGAGGCAGACACCCACAGATATACACTGAACTGAACTCTGCAACTTAGATGCAGAAAGGGTGGAATGAAGATCAAAAGGGTCGGTACCAGGCTGGTGAAACCCACAGAAACAGCTAGCCTGAACAAGGGGGAGCACACAGACCACAGACTGCTGTCTTGGAGGCCAGTATAGTACTGACCAGACCCCTGAACATGGATATCAATTAGGAGGCCTCCGCATGCTAGGGGGCCCCTGGTAGTGGATTAGTGATGGGGAAAGTATTTCTGTGTGTGTTTATCTTATTGATTGTTGAATAAAGTTCTGTTTGGCCAATGAGGAAGCAAGTTAGATGGGACTTGGAGTCAATGTAGTAGAGAAGTGGTGATCCAGGGAGGAAGTGACATAGCAAGGAGACTCATATTTAGGCAAGGAGAAACAGGAAGTGTCCCCCTCTTCCCCTCTGATCTTCCTCCAGTGATGCAATGTGATCCACCAGCAAGGAGGGACGCCAATAAGGCATCAGATAAGGTAAGTCTTATAAAATATATAGACTTATTATAATTAAGACTGAGCTAACAGATGAGAAATCCTAGTCACTGGCCAAGCAGCATTTGAACCTAATACAAGTTTCTATGTATTAATTTGGGCCCAAACTCGGTCTGGCGGCTGGCATAAAGCGCACACGTGGAGGTAGGGCTCGGGCAGTTCTGGAGGAAAGATTAGTATTTTTCCCTGGTGTAAGAAGGGACTTTGACAGCCCATTCCACATGAAGGGATGCACTTTTTGGCCTGGATACATGGGTGATGGCCTAGGCCCAGCCCAGGATGATGTGGTGGACTTTGGGAAGCCCCAGTTGAGGGCCCTACCCTTTCCTGGGGAGAGGAGGGTGGACGGGGTGCGGAGTAGGTGGGGGAGAAGGGGGAGGGGTGAGGGAAGGGGAGGGAGAGAGAGAAGGGATTGACATGTGAAGCAAGCTTGTTCCTAATTTGAACTAATAAAAAAAATTAAAAAAAAAAAAGAGTATTCTTCTCAGGTGCAGAAATCGACAACTAATCATGGTGCAACTAAGACAAAATATGAGGCCACTGGCAGTGGGTCTAAGAGCTAACTCTAATGCACAAACTGACTCCATTCTATATGGAGAAATACCTTGCTCAGCCTAGACACAGGGAAGTGGAGGGCAGAGAGGTGCCTTGTTCCTGCCTTAATGAGATGATAGGACAGACTTAATAGACTTTCTAGGGGAGGCCTTACCTTCTCTGAGAAGCAGATGGAAGGTGCAGGTGGGGTGGGGGGAGGAGAGAATGAATGGGGATCTCGGATTGTAATGTAAAAAATAAATTAATTTAAAAAAAAGGAAGAATCTCATGTGGGAAAAAAGCATGCTTCTAAAGAAGTCTTAGCATCTTTATGATTGTTACAACTAAATGCATTCAGAAGAAAACTTTTACTTATTCTTACCTGGAACCCACTTGATTTCCATTTCCATATCATTTTCTTTTCCTTTCTTTTCTTTTTCTTTAATAACATGCAAGAGCTGTCTATATTTTGCAATTTGTTCTTCATCATCCTTCTGATTTTTCTTTGTTTTCCCATCTTCTACACTGACTCCATCCTCACCTAAATAAAACAAAAATGAAATTAATCAATCTCATTTCATAGAAAGAGACAACTGCCTTCCAGCTTTAGTGTTTAGGTCTCATGGTCTCTTCAGTATACAGCTAAAAAGTGTTGTCAAAGAAATTCTGCAATCCCAGAACACAAAATCAGACTTTAACTTGTGAATATGAAAACAAAGACTTCGGTCTTGTACTCAACAAAACTCAGAGACAATGAAGTTACTAATAGCACTGTGAGAGTACTACACAGTATTCCCTTTATGTAAACTGCAAGAGCACTAAGGTTGACATTTCAGCGTCCTCTTTGTCATTTGTCATCAGCACAGTGACTTTAAAAGGAGGCTGGATGCTGCTGGAGTGAATCTGACACATAGGATTAGCTTCTCAGGCCACACAAAAGAGGCAAAGGAAGTTGTTTAGAAGTACTCCTAAGACTATGAAGTCCTTTCCATTTGATTGTGAATAAGCACATTTACTCTTAAGAGTGTTGTTCATCAATCAATGACAAAGCAAAAAGACTAGGATCTAATTCAAATATTTTCACCGTGTAGAAAGACAACAGATATTTCTAAATTCTAGTGTTATAAAAATTAAAATGTGAAGAAATAGTATAAAACCCTTGGGCAACAAACATCAGAGAAAAGTTTGCCTTTCTACAGTTTCACTGTAAATTCTTCAAGTCAGTAACATAAATTAGAAATCTGGGTTTTAATGTAAAACACAGAAACTTATCAAATTCGTTAAACATCACCAGTGGAGAAAAGTTTGAAAGCAATACATGATGGTTCCAGTCTTTATAACCTATGGTAATCAAAACTGTTATATAAGCATGGAGCTGTAAAACATCAGTGTTAACACCTTGTTTTTATATCTTTTAAAAAAGGTGACTTTAGAAAGAAAAAAAGTTGGTTAAGTAAATATTTAAAAAATTATTTTTCTCTCTAAATGAATAAAAATGGTTGTGGGCATTCTTTCCATCATTCTATCACACTTTTTATATTTTCACTCAAACAGCTGAAGCTCATTTTTTTCCTGTTTGTGCTTTGTGCCACAATAATAATGTTGGATGGAATTTTGTCATGTATCCCGTAATTCAATGGATAAAACATGAGGAACACATTAACAAAATGGCAATGTATTTCATTCTATTAAAAGCTTACTTCTAAAAACATAATTAGAAGCAAGCTCCTTCCAGGTTGAAATTTTAGTGGTAAGTCTCTGATGGCTTACTTTAAATTGATTTTTTCCAGTACTAAAATTGTACTTTCTGAAGCTCTAAAATGTAGGATAACTCATGGAGGTCTGTTTTCCTAATTCAAGGACAATATTTTATGAAAGCCTTAATAGTACATAAGATTTTTAAAAAATAAATTCAAACAGTGAGCCATTCTTATAAACAACTATCAGGAATGCTTAATATCCAAATATACTAGTCAGAGGCACTAAATTACAGATTAAGATGTGTTTGTAATCAATTATAATACTGAAGAAAAAGGAATGCTTTTGAAAAAACACAATTAGCATATTTCACTGAAAGCCATTAATCTTTAGTTTTTAAGAATTAAAATTTAAGTCCCTGATACAAGATACTATGTTAAATACTTTACATACATCACTTCAACCTATGAACCAGGTATTATTATACTTCCTGTTTCACAACAACACAAGAAAGGAATAGGATGCTAAGAAAACTTGACCTTTGTCTTCACTATGCGGATAAGTCCAGATCTGAAACTAGCAGAGTCTAAGTCTGTTTTTTGTTTTTTTCCTATTTTATAATACTGAAGTTGAACACAGGGTTTTATGAAGCTTGGCAAACACTCTACCATTGAGCTATATCCCCAATGAGTCCAAGATAGTAAGTATATCGGAAAATTAGCACTTATTTTCTGATAACATTAATGCTAACTTACCAAAATTAGGTGTTCTATTGGTAACAATATTGTTTCAAAATTTAAATGGGGGTGGGTGGGTGGAGAGATGGCTCAGGTAAGAGCACTGGCTGCTTTTCCACAGGACCTGGGCTCAATTCCCTGTGCCCACAAGGCAGCTTACAAACCATCCACCACTCAATTCCCAGGGGGAAATCTAACACCTTCTTCTGGCCTTTACGGGCACCAGGGGTATTCAAATAGCACAGTCATGCAGGCAATACACCCACATATATAAAATAAAATAATTCCAGGATGAGTGAGGTGGCTCAGAAAGGAAAGATGCCTACTGTCAAACCTGGTGACATGACTTTGATCCCTAGGATCCGCACTGAAGAAAGAAACAACTGACTCCTGCAAACTGTTCTCTGATTTACACACAAATACACACACACACACACACACACACACACACACACACACACACACACACACACGCACACACACACACACTAAAACAACAACAAAATTTAGTTCCATTTTCTATTTGAAAAACATGGACCCAGTGTTCCCCAATGGACATGGAATACTATTTTCCCCTGTATTTTAGAACTACAGTAAAGGAAAACTACTGAGATTCATTAGAAAAGCATATAATGTCCACATAGGCAAATAAACGTACCTTTTCCATACCTATGGTAGATGAAGACAAACTCATCCTTTTTATTTAGGGAGGGAGGAGAGGTTATAAAAGGTCTGTGAAAAGGCTATGCTATGTACACTAAGAAATAAAACATTCAAATTCATGAGAAAGATTAACAAGCACCAGCCAATGAGACCTTAAAATATAGTCTTTCATATCCAGTAAGCACCACTGCAAATTACACATTCTTTATTAAGCTTTCATTACATTTATTTATTTTGTGCATGCATATGCCATGAAAACTTTGAAGAGTTGGTTCTCTCCTACTACTATGTGGGTGGGTTCTAGGATCAAGCTCTGACCATCAGGCTTGGCAACAAGAACCTTTATCCACTGAATCATCTCACCAGTCTGAAAACTATACATTTTCAAAGAATATGAAACACTTAAGAATTACATGATTGTATAAATATATAATGTATACAAATAAAAAGAAGCTATTAAACACGATTTTTTTCCCCCTTTCATTAATACTGCAAAATAGTATTTTATGGCAAACTTAAAGGGTAAAGCACTACTTTCAGGGACATAAAAACAAACAGCCCATTCAGAAACTAAGAAAGTCAAGGCTTAATAACTCTATGTTAAAACTAGAAATGTATTTATTATTTTATATACCACTAGGTTACAGAAATAATATATCATAAAAAAGGAAAACACCAAGAAAAATGTTAAACTATAAATAAAGATGTTCTTCTTCCTTAAAATACTCCTATCTATGTTTAACATTTCTGGTTTTTCATTTTCTGTCAGCACTGAACTCATGGTTTTTAATATTTGGTAATTCTATCAGGTAAGAGTAACGAAGATGTGAAGGCAGATCCTATTATTCAAAATCTGAAGGCCCACAGCTAGCTGTAACTCAGGTGAACCCCTTGAATCGCCAAAGCAAACAAACAAACAAACAAATGGGAAAATCTCAGGCCAATACTTTCTTGGGCTGAGGGGATAGCTCAGTTGATGGAGTGCCTATTATGCAAGTATAAAGGCCCAAGTTGAGACCCCAGCACTTATGTAACAGATGGGCAAGTCTCTAACCCAGCACTCAAGGAATGGAGAAAAATGGATTTGAAGTTCAAAGGTCAGCTAGCTTAGCCAATTAGTCAGCTCTATGTTCAGTGATTGAGGAAAAGACCCTGAGCTCAAACTAAATGAAGATACTTAATGGTGACCTCTGGTCTCCACAGCACATGTGCCTAACCACATGCACACATATAACACACACACACACACACACACAGAGAGAGAGAGAGAGAGAGAGAGAGAGAGAGAGAGAGAGAGAGAGAGGGAGAGAGAGAGAAAGACTTATAAGACAGTATGTATCTATTCTTAGAACAAAGAAAATCTCCAGACAATCCCCATATATACCAATTAGAAGTCAATGGGGTGTTATTATCAGTGTGGATACAGGAAAGCCTTTGGGTCCAATTTTAAAATCCCTTGCAAGCAAAAGCAAACTTTTTTGGCATTTTGAGACAACCCAAGCAGGGCGGTGGTGGCACACGCCTTTAATCCCAGCTTGAGAGGCAGAGTTCAAGGTGAGTTCAAGGCCAGCCTGGTCTACAGAGTGAGTTCCAGGCCAGGCTCCAAAGCAGTACAGAGAATCCCTGTCTCGAAAAAAAAAACAAAAAACAACAACAAAAAAAGATAACAGGGCTGGAGAGATGGCTCAGAGGTTAAGAGCACTGATGGCTCTTCTAGAGGTCCTGAGTTCAATTCCCAGCAACCCATGGCAGCTCACAACCATCTATAATGAGATCTGGTGCCCTCTTCTGGTCTGCAAGCATACATGCAGGCAAATAAATCAAAAAAAAAAAAAAAAAAAAGACAACCCAAACATAAAGAGAATTTGACAATAGCTAGTTCTTAGTAAAAGGGTTTCTTAAAAATACTTAAAGCTGAAGGAAAGAGATTTAGAAAGAAAGAGCAATGGAAGCCAGGGAAATGCAAAACAAGGGCAGTATAAGACAGTGCTGCACAATAAAGGACAAAAGTTATTTAGGATTACTATAGTGGGGTTGGAGATGTATCTCAGTTAGTGCAGTCCTTGCCTAGCGTTTAGTCCCCAGCACTGCAAAAACTGGACGTGATGGCCTATGCCTCTAATGGAATCACCTTGGGAGGCAGAGTAGGCAGGTCTCTGTGATCTATGACTTCAAGGTAAGCGTAGTCTACACAGAGAGATTGTCTCAAAACTAGTTAAGGTGTGGGGGGCATAGCAGAATTTTATATATTTGCAAGTCTAACAGGCTAGGCATTTTTACTAAGCTAGGGTTTAAATAAATTTTGTGGCTACAGAAAATTAGCCTAACAAAGTATTTAGGATTTTTTTTTTAAATTATTTATTATAACTATTTGTGTGTCTGTGATGTGTGTGTGTGTGTGTGTGTGTGTGTGTGTGTGTGTGTGTGTGTGTGTGTGAGCGCACTCGCGTGCGCACACACTCACAAGTACATGCATGCGTGCAGGTAGGTGCACATGACTATGCCAAAGCATGCATGTGGTGGTCAGTTCTTCCATCATGGGTTCTGGGGATCAAAGTCAGGTCATCAGGTTTGTACAGCAAGTGCTTTCATCCAATGAGCATCTTGCTAATTCTTCAAACATGTATCTATGCAAATACATGCATATAATTCTATGCATATAAGTATGCTATACAGTCAGTTTGGGGGTCTTTTTAAGTTGTGTTCGAGAAATAGTTCCATTAACCACATAATAAAAGGATTAGCAAGTACCTTGTGGTGCTTCTTCCTCTTCCTCTTCATCCTCACTAGAGGAGGCTAAGTAGGCCTGGAAGTCCATGTCCAATAGTTCTTCCTTTTTAAACTTTCTGTTAAGTGTTGTGATTCTTTCATGATCAGTCTCATCCCAAGTGATCTCCACCTTGAACCAAAGAATGAAAATAAGACACACAAAAGCACAAAGGTAAACTCATACTTATTAAAGCACACTGTTAACTTTGATGTCTAATATTAAGTTAAAAGAGCATGCTAGGCACAGTGGCACACGCCTTTAATCCTAACACTTTGGAAGCAGGGGTAGATCTCTGTGAGTTTAAGGCTAGCCTGGTCTACATGAGAGTCCATGGCCAGCCAAAGCTACATAGAGAGATCCTGTCCCCCTCCCCCAAAAAAGGTTATAACGCACATAAAAAGTTCAGACTTGGACACGTTTAAAAAAATAAATGAATGGCATAATTAATAAATGGTAAATGGTATTCTATTTGGGAACAGAGAATCATGTGTCCATTTACCTTCCCCCTAATTCTCAACTACATGAATGACATTCCATTACTGAATATATTACTGAACAAACACTGTGGTGGAAACAAATGAAACACGCTAGAAAAAGTTAATACTATTATGAACCAGTGAGAACATAATTTTCTTCTAAAGAACTAAAATGACAGTAGAGTCACAGACTATATGAAATCTGTTAATAAAGCAACATAATCTCAACAGGTGCTATTTTCCTAAAAAGATTAAGAATCACCAATGACAATGGTTGTCATGATCATAAGCACAGCAAAGCTCTATAGCAAGTAAATTCATTGATAATATGACCAAGGGAGACTGGTTCCTTTCCTATATTCCAGTGGTTCTCAACCTTCCTAATGCTGTAACCCTTTAATATATATAGTTCCTCATGCTATGATAACCACTCAATCATAAAATTATTTTCACTGCTACTTCATAACTGTAATTTTGCTAGGGCTATGAATTGTAATGCAAATATCTGTGTTTTCTGATGGTCTTAGGTAAACTGGTGAAAGCTGTTTAACTCTAAAGGTGTCTCGGCCTACAGGTTGAGAATGACTGCTTTATTTAGTACCCTGTAAAAGGTTTTTATATTTATAGCACAATGAGTTCAAGTCCTTGTTTTTTCTGTCCAGTCCAATTTCTTCATATTAGGACAAACTAGGCACTAATTAACCAATAGATCCTTAAAATATTCTTGTCACTCTTAGTTTTAGCCAGTCTCAGGACTCAGTTACCCCCACTCTGATAATTAAGTCTGTGTTGATAATGACCAAATGGTTGCTGTAAGGAGAACAGATATTGGTGATACAGATCAGGATGCAGAATCTCCAGACTAGCCTGCTAAACATGCTGCCTATTATAAGTGCTTAAGTGTTGAAAATAAAATGATGTGGCTGCATCTTTTAGAATTCACTTACTCTGGTGTCTTACTATACTCTGTAGCTAACCAATAATGGAATACTCTACCACAGCAAGGAGGAAGCAGGTATCTCTCTGACACCAGCTTTCTTGGAATAGACAATAGTCTATTATACAGTGAGTATTGGTGCAGGCAGAGACTTAGGGCAAGAGAGAAGCCATTTAACTATGTAGCAAACAATTGTGACATAGAAATTTGACTTCTTGTTATTAATATGAAAACTAGCAATGTTGAATTATTCTTGTTCTGCAGTTTACAAAACTTCTAAAATCACATCTGCAGAAAAATGTGCTTCTATTTCAAATGGTCAATAATTTTGTGTAGCTGTCATTTGAGGTAAAGCTATATTCTTCCTATTCCCTAGGATCTTAATAACTGACACACTGCCTATTAAAAGAATCTTAAGATAAATCCTATGGCTTCCACGTGTGCAAGACAAATGTCCTACATTGAAATGCACTCTCAGGTCCAAAGAATGTAGTTGAAAGTATATAGGTAAAATAATAGAGGAAAAACAACAACAACAACCACAAAAACACAAAAACCAAAAACACAAAACATTAGAAGACTGACTCAGCTTTAAAGACAAAAGGATACTCCAAAAAATATGTTCAAACAGTATATATATGTACAAACACTCAGAATACTATCTAATTGAAAAGTTGCTAAAAGTAAGAGTCCGGCTATACATTTAATTTTTCTTTTCTTTTTTTTTTAAATACAGGGTCTCATGTGTCCCAGGCTGAATCTTGAGCTCCTGGTATCCCTGCTCAACTTCCCAAGTGCTGGGATTACAGTCACATGCTACCATGCTTGACCCATCTACACATTTTTAAGAGTTAAGAAATACCGTTGATGTTCCCATTGCAGCAGATGTGAAATACTTTGGCTTATATGCTGTTAGATCAACTTCTGAGGCCACATCCTTGGGCTCATCATCAAAAGTAGTATCATCTGGTATAAACCTAAGAAAAAAGAAAAAAACTCACTCAAACAAAAATGCAGTGACTGCCAGAGTTTAGATTTTCTATTAGTTATAGTTTATACACTCTATAAAAGTTTCTATACAACACAAATGTAAAAATTTCTAAAAGGCTAGAAACAACCTTAGCACATCTCTGACATTTGTAAACTATAAATCTGAAATTTCATTAAATTTGAGAGAATCTTATATAGAGAGACCCTGGATTAGGACTAGTTAAATAAACTAGCTTCCAAAGACCCAGATGCAATAACATACTCACTTTACAGTCCAAAAACCAAGGAGAATTAATACTGAATAAGTAGTCTCAATACAGAGTACCTAATCACTAAAAATAAAGAAAAGTTTAAGGCTGATTAAGAATAATCTCAGGCAAAAATTTCATTTCACAAATAACTAGTCTTTACATGTTAATCAGCCATGGTGACTGACAATTTTTAGGCATCTGGCTCAGGAATGCAGGATGAAAAGTAGAAGCAAATAATCTATGATTATTATAATCAGGTTTTTATAATTTACACAGGAGATTATTTCCACATACATATAAAATGCATCTACTATATACCATATCAAGAATTATTGGGAGGGGTGGTGGAGAGATGAACTAGCACCTACATGGTGGCTCTCCAACTCCAATTCTAGGGGATCTCATGCACATGAAGTAAAAATAAATCTTAAAAAGGTTTTTTGAAAGAATTATTATTTCAAGGACATAAGTAATGAAATGGTTCATAAATTACTTTTTCTTCAATTATTATTAGCTTTTCTTATTCATTTATCTAGAATGCGAGAGTACTGCTTATTCAAATATTTTACTGCATATGATCTTGCTATATTGTAAGATTCAACAGTTAAAACATGAACTGGATTACCTTAGATCTATGAAAGAACAACTGCTTTCAAATTCCAGGCCATCACAATCTTCATAAATCTTACTTGCTGTTTCAGGAGAATCACAATCCACTACTGCATAATAGTATTTCAATCGTTTGAACTGATAGTCTCTTAGCTTCTCTCTAGAGGCCCTAATGGGAAAAAACTAAGTTGAACATATGTATATAAGAACATAGAAACCTCTCCATTAAAAGGTTAGAAAACAACTTTTCCAAGAATTAGTTTTCTCTTTCTACCATGTGGATTCTAGGGACTGAATTTGGGTCCCTAGGTTGTCAGACTAGTTGATAAGTACTTTTACCCATTGAGCAATCTTGCTAGCCAGTATCTGAACTTTATAAGCTTAATTTCACTTAACTATACTCTGTTCCTTGAGGGTCTTCCTCTGCCATTTTTGATATCATCAAGTTAGGCACCAATTTTATTATGTGTACATGCAGCTCCACCTAGTGGTTTACAACTACTTAAATTGTTTTCTATAATGTAAAACCACTTTTTATTCCTTTATTTTTCTATTTAATACTTAAAAATATAATATGAAGGTAAAACAAAGCTAATTCACAGCAATGAAGATAAATACAAACTGTATTTTTTTCTAATACTGCAATCATTATTTCCAAGTATTCACACAAAATGCTGGCATAATGGGCCACCAACTATAATCAGTTATCAAGCCGTCTGAATTCTAGGCGTTAGTGTAAGTGCAAACCTCAGACCTACTAGAGTAACAGAATTCCGAGTGAAGTACATAACTTTACTAGGGTAGTTTTATATTCTAGAGTGACTCAGTACCAGTCTTTTTCTGGGGCATCCTCAGGAATACTCAGTAACTCTACTGGTCCTTGAACTTGTTCTTCCTTCATCCTTTCCTTTCCAAACTCCGAAGGATATATCTGAACACAAAAAAATAAGACCGATACAATTCATACATTTTTTTTTATATACTTATGGAGACCTGTCAAAACTAAGACATCAAGAGTCATGACTTGGCTGGAACAACTCATTTCAAACTCACTGTAGGAAAGCAAAACTCATTTCTAACTGCATGAATATAAAGCATACTGAAGAATTTCCTTGAAGTAATTTTGGTCAGAGTATAATAGATGGGGACAAGAACAAAAACAAAGTATCATGAGCAACTTGCATTCCATCTCTAGAACCCATTTCTGAAGGAAATAACCTACTTTTGAAAAAGGTCCTCTAACTTCCATATACACATGCATGCGTACACACAAAACTAAAATATAAAGCAAAAAATAATTATTGGCTTCCCCCACTTTAATAATTGTTACATAAGTTTTGTACTCAAATGTACTGAACATTTTCCAGATTAATAAAAGTTTTTTTTTGAAGAGGAAGATTAAGTCAGTTTAATTAGAAACAAAGTCAGTTTAAGTTAAAACACCTAGAAATATTTACTTTAAATGAAATTAATTCTCACCTTTACAGAAAATACAACTCCTCCTTTGGGCTTAAATGAATTGAACAGAGCCAGCAAATCTTTTGCCTTTAATCTATCCCAGTCCATGTTGCAAACTGCTAGTCGATGTGTAATCTGAGAAAGTTAAAAGTATTATTGATTATTATAGAATCTGTATTATTCTTTCTTTTTGAGATAGGGTCTCACTATGTAGTCTAGTACTGTTCTAGAACTCACTATACAGTCCAGGCTGGCCCTGAACTCACAGAGATCCACCTGCTTCTGTCTCCGAAATGCTGGGATCTGTATCATTTTCAATACTTGAAAAAAGAGATAATGCAGTATAGTCTTTCCCCAGTTCTGAAATCATCTGTTATTTAACTGATTTAACATGCAGAGAGAGTTTCATGTGGGGTAAACAACAGTAAAATCAGAGGAGATAAGTGCTATACTCTATATTGGTTTTTGGAATTCTTGAACCAGGGTTCAACCACAAACTGATGTTTTAACTAAAGCTAGTTTAGCACCAGTGCAGAGCATTTCTTACAGCACAATAAGAACATAAATACAGACTCCTTGCAAAAGCAGGTATAAAGCTTTTATGTATTTTAAATGATTTATGTAGAAATTCTTGCTGAGCGTGACGACACATAGCTGAAATCCCAGCACTCCAGAGGACGTAGAAGGGCCACAGCAAGCTCAAGGCCAGCCAAGTATTCATAGAAAGGTGCTGTCTGAAAAGGCTTTTTAACAAAGATCAACATAAATTCATGATAAAATTCCCAAAGAAACTAGGAATAGGAGGAACAGTTCTCAATATAATAAAGTCTGTATATGACAAATGCATATCCAGCATTATACTAAACAGGGAAAAAGTAAAAGCATTTCCTCTAAAATCAGGAAGGAGATAATGGTGTCTACTGATTCAAAATAGTACTTAAGCCAGAGGTTCTCAACCTGTGGGTCACAACCTCTTTGGCAACCCTCTATTTCCAAAAATATTTACATTGTGATTCATAACAGTAGCAAAATTAAGTTATGAAGTAGCAGCAAGAATAATTTTACAGTAGTTGGGGGTCACCATAACATGAGGAACTGAATTAAAGTGTCACAGCATTAGGAAGGTTGAGAACCACTGACTTAAGGGCTACTTACAGAAAAGGAAGAAGTTAACATTCCCATTTTCAACAAGGTCATGTACAAGATCACATTCCAGGCTCTACTTGTAAACTCTTGGACCTTCCACCACATCTCCTAGAATGTTCTCCAAGATTTGGAGTATGTGAGTGTATATATATATATATATATATATATGGTCTCACTATGTAGCTCTAGCCGTCCTGGAACTCACTATGTAGACCAGGCTGGCCTCAAACGCAGAGATTCACTTGCCTCTGCCTCCCAAGCGCTGGGATTAAATTGTGTGCCATTACACCTGGCTCCACATTGTTTTTTTAAAGACAGGGTCTCTCAGCAAATCTGGAGCTCATTGGTAGGTTTGACTGGCTAGCAATGAGCCTTTAGAATGCTACTATTTTTATGTCACTGACACTCAGGTCCTTATGTTTGTATAGCAAGCACTGTAAGGATGGAACCATCTCTCCTTCCTGCTAAATCCAGATTTAAGTTTGTGTGTATATACATCATGAAACTAGAAAGGGTCCATGATAGTGGAGGGAGAGATCTTAAGAGAGTTAGTGAAGAGAGTGAAGGAATTTATACATGTTATATTAAAGCAGAAGGGGGAATTATTTGGGGTAAGGAAAGGGATAAGTAAGAGCAGGGCAGGAAGAGTGAAGAGGGCAGGCTGGAAGGAAGATGAGCAGAAACAAAGTATACTGGCATAAGTGTATGAAAATACATCAAGTACATTACTTTGCATGCTATGTTTAAAATTAATTAAAATCAGCATTTTACAAAAGAAACACTGCCTCAAACAACAACAACAAAAGAGATAAAAGGAAGGAAAAGAACTTCTATCCCATTTCATCTGCTTGGACACATATCTAATCTATATACATAAGTTCTATTTCAAGATGTTCATTCTTTCTAGTGTTGGGATTGAACTTGTACATGCTAGGTAAGTGGTGTACCACTGAGTTTATCTCCAGTCCTTAAGACACTTTAACCTTAATCATCATTAATACTGCCAGGGTCTGGTGATGTGGCTCACTGGTAGATTTCTTACTTGGCAGATAGGAGGCCCTGGGTTCAATCAACAACAAGCAAGCCCCACAAACATTTTACCAGTAAAGCTTTTCTCATTTAGTTTATTTTTAATGATTTCTTTTGTTTAGCTTTCCTTTCCTGAGACAGGTTTTACTGAGCAGGTTTATAATCCAAGATAGCTTAGAACTCACTATGCATTCTAGACTGACCTTAAACTTACAGCATTTTCCTGCTTCCTAAGTGATGCTACTATAGGTGTGTGCCACCTGCTTTAGTTAGTCTACACATGCTAGCCAATAATTCCATCACTGAATTAGTTGTCCAGTCCCTTCCTATTTAATAATATCAACCCATAAAAGCTAATTGTCCTGTTATTCATAAATAATTTACCTCATCAGCCCGAGGAGCATCTTTATCTAATTCTCTCCAAGCATGTTCAAAACCAGGTTCTTCTGGAAATAAATCTGTGAAATCATCTTCATCTTCAGAACTAGTTTCTACATTTCCTTTACCCCTTGCAAGATCAGGACCACTGTCACTTTCATCATCATCCTCACTATCTTCATCTTCCTCTTCTTCATTGTCTTCATTCTCATCATCATCAGTTGAAGTTCTATCATCACTTGTGACTTCATCTTCAGATTCCTCATCACTTCCTATTTCACTACCACTGTCTGAATCTTCCTCCAGGGCATCTTTGTCGAGCATTTCACCATCATCGGCTCTTGCCATTATAACTGGAAGCACCATAGCATATTGGGGGAGGGATAAAGAAGATACACATACTGAATTAAGTTAAATCCAAATTATTTATATTAAATACAGTATAAATATAACTCTTACAAAACAGAGAAAAGGAACATAAGTTCAGTAAAATTTATGCTAACACAAGTTATTTAAGTGAAATCATAACATTTATAAGATGATGTAAGTGTGTTTATATACTCATTTAGTATTTGTGGTGTTTAATATATAACCACTGGCAAAAAAAAAAGTTATTAATTTCCAGTTGAATGAATAAGTGACAGGAAAGCTGATGAAGGAGATTTGTTCCAAACAGTAGGAAAATCATCTGTAAAAGAACTGTTAATTACAGCTGGGGAACCTGCACAGGACTAAACTAGACCTCTGAATGTGGGTGACAGTTATATAACTTGATCTGTTGGGGGAGGGGACTGGCAGTGGCACAAGGAGCTATCCCAGGGGCATGAACTGGCTTTTTTGGAGCCCATTCCCTATGGTGGCATACCTTGCTCAGCCTTGATAAAGGGGCAAGGTGCTTGGTTATACATAACCAACAAAAGAAGTTGCATTATGAATAAGATCTCCAAATAGAAATAGTAACTAACAATTTTTCTGTTAACTCTGACATTTTATAACTGTTAACTACATACCAAGATGTTTTTTGTTTAAATAGTATTTCACTTTTCTTTCAAAACTCTGAAAGAGCTCGAATCCCACTTCTAAAGGCAATCATCTCTGTATGTGTGAATACCTTACATACTATATTTAAGCTAGTATTTCTGTTTCAGCTTACTCAAGAGGCTCTAAGTTTGGAGAATGAAAAGTAAATTTTAAAACTTAAGATGGAGAATGGTCTTTTCTGCCATTTCTCTGGAGAGGCAGGTCACTCTCTCTTTCTCCTTTTCTATACATCCTCCCTCACCCTAATAAACTTTCCACAATAAAAAAAGATGAGGAATGAATTTGTTTTTATTTTAATACTATGTTTTTATAATATTTATTCATTAATCCAATACTTTACTGCCTACAATATATAAAACATTGAACTAGGGGAAGGCAAAAGAGGGAATTTATAAGCTTTCATGCCCTTGATAGGCTCATAAGCAAAAAAATTATTGATTAACAAATCTATGACTTAACGCACCATACTGAGGCATTAAAACTTCTCTGCATGGGAGCTGGAGAGATGGCTCAGTGGTTATAACCATATAGATCTTGGTTTGGTTGCCAACACACACATGGTGGTTCATAAGCACCTGTAACTCCAGTTCCAGGGGATCCAATGCCCTCTTCTTTGACCTCCATATTACATATACATACATACAAACAGCTTTTTAAAAAATTTTGTTTGCATGTCTGGGCATGATGTGCTTGTGAATGGGGGATGGGGAGGAGGCACACAGGTCATATGTGGAGGTCAGTACAATTTTGTGTAGTTCTCTATTTCCTCCTTTACATGGATACTGAGGATCAAACTCAGGTTGCAGGGCTTGAGCAGCATCTTTACCTGCTGAGCCGTTTTGCCTGTCTTTAATTTAAAACAGGGTCTCACGTAGCCCACACTGGCCTCAAGATCACTATGTAGCTGAGGATGACATAGAACTCCTGATCCTTCTGACTTATGTTCCAACTGCTGGGATTACAGACATTTATCAGCATACCAGGATACAGGGAGATATCTATAGAAAGATTTTGCAGATACTATTCGGCTCAAAACTACAAACCTGTTTAAGATTTTACTGTCTAACAGAATGGGACTATTGATCTACATACGTCCAATCCTAAATTTGCTCAAAAAGTTCTTTGGTCCTCAAACTTAACCCCAACCTCCCCCCACCAAATCCCAATATAAATAATGTGTCCCTTAGAAATTTTTCTGATTATATTTTGAGTAGCCACTGTTGAATTTTTTCAATCTCATTTATGGCCATTCCTGCTACAATACTTTGTATTACAGGCTTGACTTTTCTACTTTAGATCAATGCTATCCAATAGCTAACAGTCAAAGGAGACAATTTAGCACTTGAAATATGACTCTTTCAACTTGAGATTAATACCAAAATAGAACGTGAAAGTATCAATTTCTTATCAATAATTAAATAGAAATGAAATTTGTATTTACTGGTTATAAATAAAAATTATTTCATCTGTTTATCTTGCTTTTTAATGCCACTAGTAGGAAATTCATTACTATGTATTTTTAGTGGACAGTGCCACTGGACCGGGGTCATCATACAGAGTTTAGCAGGTATCTGCCTAAGGGCATCTACAAAAGAGAAAGAAGAGCTAATACCAAATCTAATCTCCATTCATCAAGTCATACACTCTGTAGATGCTGTGAGTGCTCAAGGGAAATCAACATGTTGCTTCACTCAAAATCGCCATCCTCTCCAAACTATGAACCCCAGAACACCCTGTGTCTCTGTGGTCAGAGGACATGTGATTTTTTAAATTGCAAAAGGCATCACATAAGCTAGCAATAACTCTAAAGAAGGGGACCATGCCTTACAATGGTTATCTCTCAGAAGCTGAATGAACTAAATGAATACCCAATTGTACTTACCTTCTTCAAACACATTTCTTCCTATATAACAACATACAGCAATTCTCAGCACCATTCACTAGAAACCAAGATCATTTACCCAAGCTTTCATGTTTGCCTTCTGGTATTAAACCAAGAAGAAATCATTGCATATTACATATTGTTTCTTTCATAGCTTTATATTTTAGAATAAACATTTGACTGTTTTCATCACACTACAAAAATAACTGCTTACTTTTTTTTCCCCGAGATAGGGTTTCTCTGTATTCTTTGTAGCCTGTCCTGGAACTCGCTCTGGAGACCAGGCTGGCCTCGAACACACAGAGATCTGCCTGCCTCTACCTCTTGAGTGCTGGGATTAAAGGCATGCACCACTAATGCCCAGGCAACTGCTATTTTTTTTTTTAAAGATAACAGTAAAATAGTGAATACAGAAGAATCAGTACTCCCAACTAACCTGATTGCTTTTCTCTTTTTGTCTTAGAACAAGCGGCTGTTGGAGATTTCACAATTTCAGAGGTACTAGAATCTTTGGTCCTTGCTTTTCCTTTTTGTAGAGAGTCTGCACTGTGGTCAATGATGTTCTTTTTCCTTTTTGTATTTTCCAGAAATTCTTCACTATCCTTCTTGGGACTTATTTCTGAACCTATCTTCTGAGATTTACACAAGTTTTTCATTTTCTGAATTCTTTCAGAATTATTGAACTCATTTTTATTTATAGGATCCTTTTGTTCAGTTTTTTTGGTTTCTTTCTTTTTTTCCTCACCCAGCACTTTTGAATTCACTTCTTTTCCAGTTTCTTTTTTTTTCTGCTTCACTTTCTTTTGGTTCAGAACTTTGCTTTCTTCATCAGAGAGATCAGAATCAGAGTCGGAAAGGTCATAGTATCGTTTCAAGTCTTCCGTAGTGCTGTGGCTGATAGGGCGCCCTCTTTTGTCAACAGCATAACTCAACTTAAACTTTTTGTCATGAAACATGGCTCGAAACCTCTTATCAATTTTGACTTTTCGGTCCTTTTCTGGCATTTCCCAAAATCTGGGATCCTTTGAAACCCGCCTAAAGCGCTGGTCATTCATTATTTCTTGTTTGGATGACATTTTTAAAGTCTTACTGAAGAAATATCCAGAAAAACCAAACACTAAAAAACAAAATAAACATTACAATGATGGTTAATAATACAATTAAAATATAAAAAAAATAAAACCACACTTGTTGATCATGTATGTGCCCACACATGTACATCCACACACTCTCTCTCTATAAATGTACATAATATTAAGGAAACTTAATTTCAGCTACCAACCTATTCTGGGTCAAACATTAAAAAATTATAAAATACAATCCTTACATTACAGATCACTTAAAACAAATTTAAGACAATGCAAACAGAATCCTAAGGCAATGCTTAGCAGCTGACTGCCCTCAATTTCTGTATTTCTAGATTGTATTTGTCATCGATTAAAAGATTTAACTAGGGCATGGAGTCATACACATGTAAACCAGGATTCTGAAGGCAGAGTCAAGATTTGACTCTGAGTTTGAGGCCAGACCTTACATAGTTACCTAGAGAATTGGGTTAGCCTGGGCTACAGAGTGAGACTGTCTCAAGAAACCAAGACTGATGCTTGGGAGAAAGTTCAGTCAGTGAAGTGCTTGCCGCATAAGTATGGTATGAATTTCATCCTCTAGAACACACATAAAAACCCTGCATGCCTGTATTCCCAGTGCTTGGTGGCTGGGTAGGCAGAGGCAGGAGGATCCCTGATCCTCCAACTTAGCTTACTTGAGTAGCTTCAAGTTCCAAAGAGAGATCATATCTCAAAAAACTAAGGTGGAGCGCAAGCAACCTCCCAAACATGAGCACACAGGGCATGGGCATGGGGCCGGGTGTGTGTGAGTAGCTGCATATGCAAAACACACACACACACACAGAAAAACAAAAGATTCTCAAATCTCAGTTGACCTCATTTGTTTCTCATCCTCTCATTCTATTCTCTTTGTTAACCTTTACTTCATATTTCTAAATCTTTCAGTCCTAAAAATCTGTCTTTAGCTAATAGTGGTGGCGGGGAAATCAAGCCAGATTCACCTCAGAGTTCCTACTGTAAATCCTTGCATCAAGAACCAAAGTAGAGTATCACGCTACAGTTAATGAATGCCACTTTCTTTTTCTTAAAGGTTTTTATGAGTATGGGTGTTATGGCTGTATATAAGTCTGAGCATCACTTCGGTGAGTGATGTCCACGGAGGCCCCATGGGCATCAGAGGTAATGCTTGTAAATCTCGGAAATTGAAGACCTTTCTTCCAGAGGGGGCGAAAGCAACTTGACCTCACTACAAACGCTTCCCCGCATCCCTACAGTCCACTACCCGCTGCCCCGCGAGCTCCAGGCAGGCTGCTTCCAGAACGACCCTAACACCTCACAAACTTTCGGGGAAAGCTACTCGCCTGAGGTCCCTCGCGCAGCAGCCCTGAAGAGAACAGTGAGGCCAGAAAGGGGCAGAAAAACAGGCGCACTACTCACAAATCCCAAGGAGAGCCTGTCGGAGAACCAGACAGCTCCGCACTTTCCCTGCTCCGATCCCTGACTGAGTTCACATGGAGCGCACACCCACAATCCTTTGCGTGTCGCTCCGCCGTAACGGCACGCGAACTAGGCCAAAAACTACTTCAACCGTGTCTTGGAGCTCTTGGAACAATTTTGTGTCATTGTGCTAGCCGTAGTCCCCACCGGAGCATGCGCACAATAGAAGCTATGCCCTGCTGTGGCGCCGGGGCTGGAGATGCTACGACCGGGCGTGCTTTGGCGCCTAAGCCCGCGGCGGCTTGGGGGCTTGGCGGTTCCCGCTGGGAGCGGTGGACGCAGGGAGGTAGCTTCCGGTGTTCCTCCTTCGGGCAGCAGCTCGCCCAGAGCCCTAAACATCTTCGACCGGGAATTGAAGAGGAAGCAGAAGAATTGGGCAGCCCGGCAGCCTGAGCCCATGAAATTTGACTACCTGAAGGAGGAGGTGAGACTGTGGATCCCGGACGCAGGGAGGCGCGGAGCCCGGCTGCGCGGACCGGCCCACCGTGCCGTGTGACCTTGAGAAGAAGCTTCGCCTCTCTGGCCTTTCTGTTACCCTGAAAGGACGGGGCTCGGGCAGTGTGCATGACAGTCATTCATTCGCTCGGCAAGTACGGCCCCGGCCTGAGTTCCAGGGCAAAGCAAGACACCCCTCCACACACCCCATCCCAGCCTCCGCCTTTGCAGGATAGCGTAAGGAGGGGGCGCGAGACACGCTTAGACAAGGCATGCAATTTCAGCTAAAGTCAGGTGAAGAAAAGGTGAATCGGTGGTATTGGTGACTAGGATGGTCAAGAATGGCTGCTGTGGCGAAACGTGTGAGAAATTAGTCGAGCTGAGATGGGATAGGTCGAGTTTCACGGGAAAAGGAAGAGATACGTACAGAACACCTGAGGCGGAAAGGACCAGTAGGGGCCCTTCATTTAGCACCTCTTTCTGTTCAAGAGAAGCACCCAGATTACAGCCTGAATGACGCCTTGTGACTGCAGAACAAAAATATATTGAATAAAGTATATGACAATTATTTCGGAAACAAGTAAAAGGCATTGCCATTTGGAATGATGTGCAAAGTGGGATGCTCAGGGAAAAGACTTAAAGTTACCTAATCCCTTACCCATTACCCTCTCAAAGCAAAACCAACCATATTCTAACTTTCAAAGAGTAATCACAGCTCTAGAATGTTTATAAGAGACTGAGTGGAGTGGTGGACTTCATGCCAGCTGTCACTAGCCCAGTGAAGGGTGGTACTTGCCATACAACTTCTTTTATATTGTGCTTGGGAGCTGCTTGGCTGTACTTTTCTAGACTTGGTGTTTACTAATTTGCAAAAATTACTAAAAGTAAAACAAAGCTGTTAATGTAGATTAAAAGTTGTTAATGTAAACTGGGTAAGTATGGTAACACATATCTGTGGTCCTGGCATTTAGGAGGCTGAAGCTGGGGGATTAAAGGGTTGTTATGAGTTCAAAGCCAGTCTGGGTTACCCTTTCTCAGACTAAACAAAACAAAAACAGTTAATTCATTTAGGAGTTACACAAAGTTTGTACAAAGTTTTTATTAAGTGATCAGTTATATACTTTTTTATAATTGTTAACCAAGTGAATAATTTTTATTTTATTATATCTCATGCTAATAATGTCTGTGAACATTAATATATCAGTTGTATTTGTCCTAATTGGTGTTTCTTTTCTTTTCTTCTGTTTTTTTGATACAGGTTTCTCTGTAGCTTTGGAGGCTGTCCTGGAACTAGCTCTTGCAGACCAGGCTGGTCTCGAACTCACAGAGATCTGCCTGCCTCTGCCTCCCGAGTGCTGGGATTAAAGGCGTGTGCCACCACTTCCCGGGTTTAGTTGAGGTTTCTATTGATTGCTGTGATAAAAGACAGTGATCAAAAGCACCTTGAGGAAGAAAGGGTTTATTTTATCTTGCAACTCCCAAGTTACACTTCATTTCCGAGGGAAGTCAGGCCAGGAACCTGGAGGCAGGAACTGAAGCAAAAGCCCTAGAGGAATGCTGTTTTCTGGCCTGTTCCTCATGGCTTGTTTAGCCTGCTTTCTTATACCATCCAGGGCCACCTGCCTTGGGGGTGACACCACCCATAATGAGCTGGATCTTCCCACATTAATCATGAATGTGCGCTGCAGACTAGCCTGCAGACTAACTAATCTTACTTATGGAGACATTTTCTCAGTCACAGTTCCCTCTTCCATGCCTGAGGTGGTGGCACACACCTTTAATCCCAGTACTCAGGAGGCAGAGGCAGGCAGATCTCTGCCTTTGAGGCCAGCAAGGCCTACAAAGCAAGTTCCAGGACAGCCAGAGCTGTTACACAGAGAAACCCTGTCTCAAAAAAACAAACAAAAATAATTCCCTCTTTCAAATACACCTGAGTGTGTTGAGTTGACAAAAACAATTCAGGACAATGTTTCTTTTCTTTTTATTATTTTGTATCACATAGAATACAAAGGCCAAGTATGTATACCTATTTTTTTTTAAGATTGTTTAGAGCAGGGTTTTGTTTTGCTTGTTTTGAGGCAAGATCTCACTGTAGGCCTGACTGTCCTGGAATTCATTATGTAATATATCCAATCTGGCCTCAAACTCAAGAGATCCACCTGCCTCAGCCTCCCTGTTGTTTTTGAGACAGTGGTCTTTATAATATGTACTAGCTTGGAACTCACTGTGTCACCGTATATTCCAGACTGGCCTCAGACTTGTGGCAATCCCTGCCTCAGCCTCCTGAGTGCTAGGACTATAGACATAAGCTGCCATACCCAGCAGATTGTTTAATCTTGGTTTTATTACATTGGTTCTAAAGTAATTTGCTTCAGTTCGTTTCCAGGGATATTTTGTTATGTTTTACAATATTTTATCCATATTCAGTACTTATAGAGGAAGTTTCTGTGGGAAAATAGAAAATAGGATACAAAGTATTTGCCATTTTGAAACAAGTTGAATAGTAGGAAAAAAGAATTTTACTCCTCTGTTAAACCTACTGGTGTAATTAACCCATTAACTCTTGAAATCTTTCAGGTTGGAAGTCAGATTGCAGACCGTGTTTATGACATAGCCAGGTAGGAGACAGTGAGATGCAATCTCTCTCTCTCCCTTTCTTCTGCTCTCTCCTTGTCCTTCTGTCTCTCCTTCCCAAAACAGTCTCACTCTAACTCATAGGCCTTGCCTTGGACTGAGCTTAGACAGTCCTCCTTTGTTAGCCTCTTGAGCATCTGGGAATGTAGACAATGCTCCACCACTCCTGGTCAACAACAAAATCTGCTGTTGAATGGAGACTTAAGATTAAATGATGAGAGCTTGATATGTGGAATAGTGAATTCTGAGAAATTTAGATTTTTGAGATAGTGTCTCACTGTAGCCCAGGCTGACTCCCAGCTCACACATGCCTCCTGCCTCAGCCTCCCAAGTATGAGATTATAAGCATACCCAGCCCCACACCTGACTTTTTTTTTTTTTTTTTTTTTTTTTTTTTTTGGTTTTTT